GAGAGAGAGAGAGAGAGAGAGAGAGGTTGCATCACTTCCGTGTTAGTTATAATGTAAGGCTGGGACGCTGTAGCAAGAGAGAGCTATAATTCAACAGATCCCTCACTGCGTTCTACCCCTCTGGTTAATACTGGTTTTCCTCTCTTAAAACTTTCCATTACTCTTAACCAATCACACTTCCTTCAGGTCGAGTGTGTTAACTCTTCTATCCTTTATCCACTCTTCCATCCCACTCTTTATCCTTCTCGCGGTTCATATTGAGGTTTACTTCAAATGAAGAAGATAATTCATTTCACTGTGAGACACTGCGTTACGCTATTTTCATCATTGGTTTACGAAAAGGATATCTTAAGGGAAATTACATTGCGCGGGTAAAATAGTCTACGGGCATCACAACCCATGTTTCACTTACTAAGTTTATGCGGCTTGTATTAATTATTTTACCTATGTAACATGAACACTTCTGGCAAATCATTTAGGTTGTGTTTCAGATGTGTTTCAGATGTCAAATCATAAATTAGTTTGTGTACATGTGTTCGTTACTAGCGTTAGCTGAGTAAAAAGGTATTGCCCCATTAAAAAAAAAAAATTCATGGATCTTTTGCCCCCGTAAGAAAAGCTATTTCTCCCCATTCAGAGAAAAAGAAGACAGAAAATTAATATAGCGGAAAGAAGGAAATTAAAAGCTAAGAAAATCACTCCCCCGTCTGCATGCCTCGCACTCAAAGATAGATGGTTCAGCGAGAATGATAAAGAAAGAGAATGATTCTGATGCCAGGACAGTTACAGAGAGTTACAACAGACAACACAAAAAAATAGATAAAGTAACCATTGATCCGAGAATCAAATGGTAGTGAAAAGAGTAAGGCAAGAATGAGAGAAAAGATGCAGGGAGATCAAGTTAAACAATAAGACTTAGTCGACGAGGAATGAGAGTTTGAGATGGAGAAAGAGACACGAACTTGAAACCAAATTAATAGTTTCACTTGTAAAGGTGAGAGAAAGGTGGATAAGCAAATTTGACAGAGTCGAGGGGGGAATATGAAATATTTGGAAGGTGAAACACGGAATACCAAGGGAGGAGAGGTGAAGTGCAGAAGTGTTGACTATGTACAGTTAAGTATCCAAGAAAAAATGGTTCACAAAAATGGAGGCTGGAATTAGATTCCAATACGTTTAGAGATATGAAAATGAGGTGTAGGAAAAGACGACTGGCAGGACAACACAGTACATAGTAATGGGGAACTTCCTACATTAATCAACTAATAGACAGACATACAGATGTAGATATAACACGAAATCATGCCCCAGAGGCAGACACAAGTATGATAACTTCGGGTTGGGCAAAACTGACAATTCAGGAATACAGAGCACTGCATACAACCGACCTGAGACCAGATCATGAGAGTGCATCTCTGGCATGGAATTGACATTACCAGAAGCACTCAAGAAAACGTGTAAATATACAAACTGAAATCAGCCTGGTCGCAAAATTATGTGGAATGGGGTGCAAATAAAGGTTTAAGAAGCTGCACTGAACAAAAATTGAAAATAGAGGCGAAATTAAAAATTGGATGATAACAAAAATAGAGAATAATACTCACACTCTATAACTGTTGAACAAGAGAGTATATATTTGGAATCTAGACACCGATATAGGTGAAATAGATGAGGAAAACAAATATTCCTTTATCTTAAGGGGGGACAAGTAAATAGACTGAACTACTCGATTAGGTAGCAGGAACCCAGTTCCCTTCATAACTCCAAAAACAAAAAATAGACGTGATAAAACTCACGCTATTCATTAGCGATACCATTAGACAACCAACCAACCGATCGGGAAACCCGTGCGTGAATTCTTACTGATCTCTTCGATCTCGCGGACATACATAACGCGAACATACACACAGGTGAGGAACATACACATACCCACACATTGATGTTTACGGTGGGAACGCAGGGAGCTGGGCAGCTCTAGGAGGCGTGCGGAGAGGCCATCAAGGTTGGGCGTGGGAACCTTGCTACTCTCACCCAACACCCACAACACAACACACTTTATGTTCTGTTATGAAACAACACCTTACCTCTCCTATGCTTCGCTCTCCACGTAATTAGTCATTATCTTAGGGTCGGAAAGATGTTTTTGGTCGCTTTTTTTCAAAGTCGTTAATCACAAACTGAGCTGGTGTGGTGTAGGTGGTGTTGGTATGGTGTGTTTCTATGCTGGCGTTGGTGTGGTGCTTATGGTGTTGGTATGATGTAGGGGGGTGTAGGTATGGTGTAGATGGTTGTATGCTGGTGTCGGTATGGTGGTGGTGTGTTGGTATGATGTAGGGGGGTGTAGGTATGGTGTAGATGGTTGTATGCTGGTGTCGGTATGGTGGTGGTGGTGTTGGTATGATGTAGGGGGGTGTAGGTATGGTGTAGATGGTTGTATGCTGGTGTCGGTATGGTGGTGGTGGTGTTGGTATAGTGTAGGTGGGTGTAGGTATGGTGTAGATGGTTGTATGTGGTGTCGGTATGGTGGTGGTGGTGTTGGTATAGTGTAGGGGGGTGTAGGTATGGTGTAGATGGTTGTATGCTGGTGTCGGTATGGTGGTGGTGGTGTTGGTATAGTGTAGGGGGGTGTAGGTATGGTGTAGATGGTTGTATGCTGGTGTCGGTATGGTGGTGGTGGTGGTGTTGGTATAGTGTAGGGGGGTGTAGGTATGGTGTAGATGTTTGTATGCTGGTGTCGGTATGGTGGTGGTGGTGTTGGTATAGTGTAGGGGGGTGTAGGTATGGTGTAGATGGTTGTATGCTGGTGTCGGTATGGTGGTGGTGGTGTTGGTATAGTGTAGGGGGGTGTAGGTATGGTGTAGATGGTTGTATGCTGGTGTCGGTATGGTGGTGGTGGTGGTGTTGGTATAGTGTAGGGGGGTGTAGGTATGGTGTAGATGTTTGTATGCTGGTGTCGGTATGGTGGTGGTGGTGTTGGTATAGTGTAGGGGGGTGTAGGTATGGTGTAGATGTTTGTATGCTGGTGTCGGTATGGTGGTGGTGGTGTTGGTATAGTGTAGGGGGGTGTAGGTATGGTGTAGATGTTTGTATGCTGGTGTCGGTATGGTGGTGGTGGTGTTGGTATAGTGTAGGGGGGTGTAGGTATGGTGTAGATGGTTGTATGCTGGTGTCGGTATGGTGGTGGTGGTGTTGGTATAGTGTAGGTGGTGCTGTAGCGGTGAAGTTTTGATATGTATATACTTTTATGGATTGTTTGGAATCGTTCATGCTTCATAAGGAAACATATAATTATTTGTTTTACTGAGTATTTAACTGAAAGCTGTTTGTAAACTCTTCATTACTTTATTTGTCAGCGAGTGTGTCTTGTGTGTGTGGTGTGTGTGTGTGTGTGTGTGTGTGTGTGTGTGTGTGTGTGTGTGTGTGTGTGTGTGTGTGTGTGTGTGTGGCGTGTGTGTGTGTGTGTGTGTGTGTGTGTGTGTGTGTGTGTGTGTGTTCGTGTGTGTGTGTGTGTGTGTCTGTGTGTCTGTGTGTCTGTGTGTCTGAGTGTTACCCTCGTATGCTTTTTTGTGTATTAAAGCTAATTATCTTTATTATTTCCAGGAACAAAACTCACTGATATTATTTATTCCCATTGAAACGTTAATGAGTCATTTGTTTATTTATCTATTAATTAACATTTTTAACTATGCTCAACAATGATTATTCAGAGTTCGTCTCAACACCTTAAAATTATAAATAAATTTATAATTTTATAAAATTATGAAGTCGATTGTGCTAATGGTCCAGGACGGACCGAAACGTCGTCGTCTCTCATTTTCTGGTGTGTGGTCTGGTCATCAGAAGACCCCCAGTACCATGGCTGGATTTAGGCAAGGTGAGACTCCATTCTGTTGGAAGCTGTAGAGATATTATTTCCCAATTGCTAACATAGAATAAACCTCTATAACAGCTCAACGTGGCACCACTGCCATCATGATGCATAAGAGGTCCGGGTAGGTAGGAAACGGGGTCAAGAGTTCGAGACATTTAATAATAGGAAAATATTACTTGAAATTCGTTTTCAGCGAGTAAAATTCTCTAATAAAACTTTTAATTGACTGAAAATATTTTGACGTTTTTCGCAATTGTTAAAAATTTCAGTTTATATTAATTATTCATTATCTCCTGCACCACGGAGTTTGTTTCATGAAACAGGCGAGCAGTGCAAGGGTTAACACTGATGAAGAACAACATACAACCTGATAAAAGAAGTTAGTTAATTTATATCGTTTTCATTCTTGCTTTTCCAAACGTCATGCATGATATCCTCAAAAGATAAGCTATAAAGGTAATCGTTTTATATGTACTTAGTACTAAGTGCATACAGATTGACCTGTTGCCATTAACTAATATTTAACTTTCTGGTTGTGAAAATGATCTGTTGCCTGAGCCGTTTGCTTCCTAAGACAAGAATTGCAACAGTATTGCGTCAGCATCAAGGAATACCTAAATGGGTCTTGCTTTCGAAGATAATCTGATCTTCGTGGCACAGATATTATTTCCTTGAATGGACTTGTTTAATATAAGCATTGATGTGCTTTAGTTCTCGAGTGAGAGCAATATCGTTTGGATAATCTTGCATCACAAACTCTACAGCTTCACGCAGCTGTTCCTCTGAAGTTTCTAACACTGCATTTCTAAGTTATGTGAAGCTTCTAAGTTATAAGCTTCTATGTTATGTGAAGCAAAACTGGTTTGCAGCATAACTGTAAACTGTTTCTCTTCTCTTCAAGTTAATTTCAGGACCATCCTTCACAGAAATGAAGAACTTCACTCGAAATCTGACTTAGAGAAAGTCCTTTACAACCGCCTGAAACAGTACCATCAGTGATAAGTTGTGAAACAGTAATTCACAACAGGACGCCGGTATCTCACCACAGAACCCCAGGTACCACACCACAGGACCCCAGTTACCACACCACAGGACCCCAGAGCCTCACCATACAAGCACGGTAACTTACCACACCACCGGTAGACTGGAGTGTGAAGTCGTGAAGGCAATGAGCCGAAATGGTGCCGGCGCGGGACTCCAGCGCCACTCCCTGAGGCGCCGTGATCTCCAGACTTCGCGTGAGGGACTCCAGCAGGAGGCTCTCCCTCACTGGAGCTGAGACGTGCGCCGTCTGCACGGAACCGCTGAACACCGCTCCACCTTCACCTGTCGGAGGCCACGAAGGATGACAGTTAAAATGGCAGGGGATGGAAAGACAGGTGTGTGACCAGAACCTGTGACAAGAACCTGTGACTGTGACGTGGATAATGAGTGACCAGTACCTGTGACAGTGAGATGCCTGGCTCCGACAAGGACCTCCTCACGAGAGGCGGAGAACAGAAGCCTTCCATCCTTGTCGCGGATCACCAGACGATCTGACGTGCACTCCATCGCCTCAGAGTCTGAGAGAGAGACGGGACCAGTCATCAGTACCACTAGACAGACAGTAATAATGACACGATCAGTAAAGTAACACCAATGACCGCGTGTAAGCTTTATTTATACACATAAATGTCTTTCCCAGTGGAGTATATATATATAATATATATATATATATATATATATATATATATATATATATATAGTATATAATATATATATATATATATATATATATATATATATATAATATATATATATATATATATATATATAACTATATGATCATGTTTTCTGATTTCAAGACAATGATTTAAACACATTGAAAAATAATTGTTTTGAAAGTCAGTACTTGGAAATTGTATGGTATGTATCACGCTATATTCGAAGATCCCCATCTCAATTAAATTACACATCAATTAAAAATTTTACATGAAGAGCAATGCTATGAAATCAGAGCTTGCTCGATCTTATCTGTAATTCAGAAGGAATATGAGAGACATACAAATTAAATGTATGTACATCAAGGCTTATCAAAATAGGGAAAAAGTAATATTAGAACCAGAGATCATACACGTAATCTAACAAACAAACACACAAACATGGTAAGAAATGACAATTATTGTTCTTTGTTTAAAATTCCGGCCATTTTTAAATGCCTGCAAATACCCTGAACAACTTGGAGCGTAAATATGATTAATGGACCAACAGAGCTCGGGACACAAAGCGTTAGAACGCTCTACAGTAAACAACAAACAGAATCACAAACCGATTACCACACACACACACACACACACACACACACACACACACACACACACACACACACACACACACGAGCGTGTGTGAAAGATCACACCATTGCCTCTGATCTTCACCTCCATCTTTATCATATTGCAATCAACTGTAGAATCAAATTATCGACAATACTATCAAGAGAGAATGTTGATACTATTGTTGTTAATACTAAGATAATCTCCATCAATATCATCAGTACTAACAAGAGTATCATGAAGAAGGGAAAATTATGTAATGAAAACGAACATTAATACTGTGGATTCTGAAGAGTGGTATAAGATGGGAGAGAACACATGTACTGGGACGCATGTTCTAGGACACATGTACTAGGACACATGTACTAGGACACATGTACTAGGACACATGTACTAGGACACATGTACTAGGACACATGTACTGGGACACATGTACTGGGACGCATGTTCTAGGACACATGTACTAGGACACATGTACTAGGACACATGTACTAGGACACATGTACTAGGACACACATGAGTTCCAGGACCTGACTCAGCTACACAACACCCTCCTATATTGAAGCTTATCCCTGTCTACTACTGCTGCTGCTTGAGCAACTGTTGCAACTGCTGCTGTTACTGCTGCTGAAGTAAATATTGGTGAAAGAGCTGCTGGTGCTGCCAGAGACACAGATGACGATATTGGTCCTAATTTGCCGGAAAGGTGTGGGTGTTGAAGCGAGTGGTGCTACTATTTACATAGCTGGTAGAGCTGCTTCGAAAATAGCCGGTGCTTCTACTTTGCTATTTAAGAATTTCCTATAATGATTATGTCTTCACTTTATCTTACTCCTGTTTCTACCGGTGTTATTAGTAGTTGTGGTAATCGTCCTCTGGCGATTATGGAGTGGTATCCCCTTCCCCTCTCAGTGATGGGGCGGTAGTGGAGGTGGACGGGGGCGCTCCTTAGTAATGGGGAAGACATGAGAGGCCAGATAGAAGAGGCGCGGCACGGATCATCCCCTCAACAATTTATCACTTGAGTGAATTTAAGAGCGGCTGTGTCAGCAATCGCAAAGTATTTTGGCCAAGCGGAGGGTAGCCAAGGATGATTCAGGGACATTCGCTGTGAGCCTCCAGGCGACGTTTGGAAAATTTTGCGGTAAAGGAGAATCATTTATGAATCATCAGTGGGTCGTCTGCCAAAAAAAAAACAGGTTTTGAAACGCGGTCTTTTTGATGAGATATACAATTTAAAGGAAAATAAAAATTTATAAAATTGGATTGTTTATACGTCATTAGGAGTCCGTGTCATTGTTTGTCATAAAGTGGATTACCGTTAACAGTATTTCACCAAACAATGTATTATAAACGTAATTAAAATAACGAAAAACCTCCCAAAAATGTAATTAACACAATAAATTACAACCTTCAAGTCAATATAATGTTGTTTTCGCCATGACTGGTGTATACGAACCGTCGCCACATCCTTGAAGATGAAATCATGTTCCTTATTATGACCACTCATAGCTGAGTGCATAGAGCTTCTGCCTTACACGCTTGGGGTCTGTGGTTCGAGTCTCGCGGAGGCTTGATGAATGGGATGAATCTCTGAGATTACCAGTAGATAACTTGTGCTGTAGTGATGAGACCAGCCTCAGGTCACCCTGGCGCTCAACCTCCACGATCATGAGTATTCTGTCTTACTCCTACAAGTATGTTTATTGAGATAACAAAGAAATACATCTCAAAGGGATAGAGTAGCTTAGGCTATTTCTACCTCCCCCCCCCCCCCTTACTCTTACATCCCTCCTGGTTCATGCTTGGTCCACCATAACAACAGAATCTATAGCAATAGGTCGTGTAGGTGTTGTCTGTGGAATGTACAAACTATTGACAGTTGTATCCGAAAAATGTTCTTGCCTTTTACAGCTAGAATTCTAAATGGCATAACAAAAAGCAAAACAGGGTAGCCATAAGCCTCTATATATATAATTTTAGAGCAAATTTAGTATCTAGTTGTACTAAACTAGACCTAAGAAAAGTTTGATTTGGCTGTTGCCTTCATTCTCGAGTCCTCTAGAAAATTAGGGCAAAACGTGGGCATTGATAGGTGCAAAATTCCATATTATGAACTGTCATTTTAGATCACAGGTTCACTATATATACAACTAGTCCTATCAATTCACTTCAGAATTGCATTAATATTGCGAGATTCCAAATCTGGTGAAAGTACTATTCTTCCATCGGAGCCCTGGGTGGGTGTGGACCATATACGAGCGAGTACACCAAGCATCGTGTAAAGAATAGTGTGCCTGGTGGTAAATCTTAGTGTGGACATAGTTTGGCATTTAGCGAGGTTGGAATTAGGCATCAAAAGGGAGAGCATGGAGGCCGACCCGATTCCCTATGATCATCCCCCAACACCCATCAGTCACCCTGCACAGTTTGGTAAGGCTAATCAGAAGCGTCTGGCCTTCAATCTTGAAAAAAACAGATTTTCAATTTTATTCATAAATAAGATATATTTTGGCTGCCAAAAGCTGGTGACCCGTGAGTGTAATTGCAAAAGAATTGAATTTCCATACATGGCTTTATACTTACTTATTTTTTGTGCCTGCAGAATCTAGGTATTAGCTCTTGGGCCCCGCCTTTCTAACCAGTCTATTTTTCCTCTATTATGTCTACTACATATATTTCTCTCTAACTCACACGCTCACGCACACACACACACACACACACACACACACACACACACACACACACACACACACACACACACACACACACCACATATATATATATCCCCAGAAGGCAGCATCTGTCTAACTCCCAGGTATCTGTTTACTGCTAGGTGAACAGGGGCCTCAGGGTGAAAATAACTTTGCCTATTTGTTTCTGCCTCTGTCGGGAATCGATCCCGAGCCCATAGGACTACGACACCCGAGCGCTGTCACTCAGCCGCAAGGCCCATGAGTTTGTGTGTGTGTGTGTGTGTGTGTGTGTGTGTGTGTGTGTGTGTGTGTGTGTGTGTGTGTGTGTGTGTGTGTGTGTGCGTGTGTGTGTGTGTGTACTCACCTAGTTGTACTCACCTAGTTGTGCTTGCGGGGGTTGAGCTCTGGCTCTTTGGTCCCGCCTCTCAACTGTCAATCAACAGGTGTACAGGTTCCTGAGCCTACTGGGCTCTATCATATCTACACTTGAAAATGTTTATGGAGTCAGCCTCCACCACATCACTTCCTAATGCATTCCATTTGTCAATGGAATTCAATATTAATTTGTCAATTTGTGTGTGTGTGTGTGTGTGTGTGTGTGTGTGTGTGTGTGTGTGTGTGTGTGTGTGTGTGTGTGTGTGTGTGTGTGTGTGTGTGTGTGTGTGAGTGTGCGTGCGTGCGTGTGTGTGTGTATCCCGTGAAACATGGTGTATAACATTTAAAACTAAACTTCATACTTTTGTTCACCACTATACAACATACATAGTTCAGTACTATGCCCCCTCAACGTGCGATATCTAAATAAAGACTACTTAAAATATTCACAAACCTTTAAGTGTTCAATAACCCTTGCATACTCCTCCTTTATCAAGTCCACAATGTCTTAGAGGACATTTACAACACGTCCCAAGAACACGGAAGTTCTGTACGTAAGTATTCTGTAAGAACACGGCAGAATGACATGGAAGACGGTATGTGTGTCTCTCAAGATGTGGGAATTTTGATAGTGAGAAAGTGAGAAGCATAAAGCTTGGCGCTGACAGGAGTGAGAAAGCTTGCTGAGGGGAGCTGAGAGATGTGTGCCACGGCTGTCTAGTAATATCTGACTACCAGAGTGAAGGAAAAACCCTGACAAGAGGAACGAAGGCTGATAGGGAAGGGATTAGCCAGTCTGACACAGGAGGGTTGAATGGTCTTCCTTGAGAGGAGATTTGACAAGGAGGATGCGGTGAAGGGGTTATTGTAAGAAGGGGAGAGTTAGGAAAAGGGAGAGGGGGGGGGTGGTTCTAAATATATCACCCCCCCTCCCCACTCCCACCCCATTTTCCCTACTATCCTTACCCTAAACACCAATTTCTGTCACTCTTCTGACCTTCCTTCCCCCAATTAACCCCCCCCCCCACCACCCCAACCACCCTCACTCCATCCTTATTCTTCACAACCTCCTAATCACTATTCAGTTCCCCCCAATCTCCCCTCTCCTCATACCTCCCCCCCTTCCTCTTCTTCCCTCTCCTTCTATCCCATCCCCCCCAACTTTCCTCTCCCCCATCC